CCCCCTCTTGAGCCCACTTCTCCCCCCAGAAACCAGCCTCCGCTGTCTGAGCCCCACCTCCCTGTCCTGAGCCCCACCCTCTCCCACAGCTGCCTCCTCCCATTACACTAATAGAAACCCATCTTCCTCATCTTGGCCCCATTATCACCCTCGGAGACAAACGGGCTCTATGATGGGAGGCAGCTGGCCAGCTACCGGGTCATTGTTCTGAATGTCACTGAGAGCCTGAAAGGGAGGGGAGCCCGCAGGATCGAAAGTAGGGCTGCAATTACTGGCCTATTCAGTGCCCCAGAATAATACCCTGTCATTAGCTGGCAGCAGGGAGGAGATCGGTAGGGGCAACGACCACGGGGCGATCTTTTCTGGGGAGAAAGAGACTGGCACACACTTGCTACCCCCTGGCTGGCCGCTGGGAGGGGGCACCATCCCCAGCTCCCACCTCCTAATTACCCTGGCAGACATAGATTGTCTTCCTAGGGCGGTGTGGGGAACCAGGGAACAGCAGAACCCGTAATAACTCCATCTGGTCATTTAGCTTCAGAGGGCTTTGCCAGCCTATAGCTGCTCCACTGTACCCCAAACCACTGACGCCCACCCTTCAGCCTCCCTTTGCAGACACCCAAGCTTCCAGACGTGCTCAATTTCAAGTCTTCCCACTCCTGGGACAATCACTCCCTGGCAGGCTCCCAGCCCCAAGACAGAGTTTTCCTGACACCAGCCACCAGATGCTCCTCTGCAGGTGGCTGGGGAAGGCTGTCCTGGCCTCGGTAGGGCTGAGGCTTCTCTGCCTCTTCGGGAGGGGCAAGGCTGTCTTATGGCCCTGGGATCTTTCTAGGAGGGACCAGACTTTCCCCTGGTCCTCTACATCTCTGATCAGATAGATGAGTGGCCATTGCAGCACCCCAGGGAGGGCCCTGGCAGCTCAAGGAAAGGGACCCTTGCTCAGCTCAGCTGGAGTGGGGGCCGGCCTCAGCCATAGTGCAGAGGAGGATGGCAAGGGAGCTCCTGTGGCTGGCTGAGTCCACACAGCCACACAGCCTTGACACCTGATTCACTGGCTTTGGATTCCTTACTGGGGTCTCCTGTAGAGGCCAACTGCTGATCGTAGAAACCCTCAGGAGACCATGATTCGGCTGGAGACTGGCTGAGCTGGTGGGAAACCAGATTGACAGGGAAGAAGCCAGATTGACAGAGGAGGAGCCAGACATAGCGGGAGGAGCCTGGCTTGTCTCATAGCAGTTCCCCTCAGAGGGCTGCGAGACCCACCCACCTGTGCCAACCCCACAGGCCGGCCTCTGACTGTAACACATTCCACTAGAGGAGATTGCTGGGAAGTTGAGGCTATGCCTTGGAGGTGGGACAGCTGGTCTAGGGGAAGGGATGAGGGGTGGTGAAGGAGTCGTGATAGGGTTGGGAGTAGGGATGCTGAGAGTCTGATCATGGAAAACTTATCTTGGAATAGAATCCCCCGAGAAGCCAAAAGCAAACCACGTACACTGTTGGGCTGTCCAGAAAACATCCAGAGGGGCTCCTCCCAGAGAAGCCAAGGAAGTCACATCCGACAGACAGACAGACAAAAACGGCTCTAGGAGACTACAAATCAGACAGACAGACAGGACAACTTGGAATAACTGGGAGCTAGAGATGGAGAGCAGCTGAAGTCCTAGACCATCTGGGGGGTGGGGAAAGTCTCCCTGCCCCCACCCAGGGGGAGGGCCCCCATAGGCAGGGTGTATAGGCCCCTCCATGAACCCACATTCAAGAGAATCTCCTACCTCCCACCCTCCCTCCCCAGAGCACCGCCAGTCCCCAACCTCAAAGCCCACACCTCCCAGGGGAAGGTGAACAAGGTGAACAGCAAATCTCTTGGAAACTAAGATCATGGGTTTCCTATCATCCACCTCAAACCCTGGAAAATGACCCTATTCCCTTGGAGCTCCAGCCCCTTGAGAGGGCAGCAACCCTCCCCTGCCCACGTCTACCTGCCTTCTGGGGTGCTGCTGGGACCACCTCTTTTCCACTCCTTCCTACCCGGAGCTGGGGCTGCAGGTGGGCACCACGCAGCCAGCAGTGGAGTGCTGGAGCATAAGCGGGCATGCAGGCTGCGAGTGGATGGGAGGAGAGACCACAGCAAACCCAGGGGACAGTCTCTATTGCCCGCTCCTGCCAGGCCTGGGCTTCTCAAGGGTGTGCCATCTATCCTCACTGAGGCCTGGTGCTTGGTTAGGTATCAATAAAATGCTCACTGAATTGAGTTGAATTGATGGCGCTGGAGGCAGGTCAGCTTTTTTCTCTTCTCCCGTACCAAGGAAGGCAGTTTCTAGGAAGGAGGCCTGGGTCATGTGTCTGAACAGTGAGGGTCCATGGGAAGGGGCCAGGGCTCTCAGGGTTTTCCTGTACATCGCCCTGGTGTCTTCCACACCACCACGCTCTCCTCTTCCTTTCTCGCTGCACCATTTCATTCTCCCATTTCTCTTCTTCCTTCTAATTTCCAGGTGAGCCGTGTTCCCTTTCATGGCATCCTAATGTCCCACTGCATGGAGAACTTCTCAAGTTCTTCTCGAGAACTGCTCAACTTTCCCCACCCCCCTTCTCAACTTGGAAGTTGGCCTTATGTGGCTTTATGTCCCCAGGCCTGGCCAAAAACTTGTCACAGAGGACACCCAAAGCATCAGCCTCCCATCTTCAACATGGCTGGCGTCAGGAACTCCCATTCCTCCCTCAGCTCTGGATTTAAGGTCCCTTCGGGTGTCTGGCCTCTCTGAGTCCTCCTCCAGTCCTCCTCCGAGCCCTGCCTCTTTCTCTGAACTCCCCTATAAGCAATGCCTTTCATGGGGTGTTTGTCTGTGCCCCGAGGTCTCTAGCCACCACTTTTGATCACCGTCTAGTTATTTTCCAGAGGATAAAGGGGGAAAGATCACAGAATAATTGGATCTTAAATCTGGAAATGGTGCGCATGAGAAGTCTGATGCCCTAAGCCTCCTGTGGCTGTGCTGGTCCTTGCTCTGTGACTGTGGACAAGTCTCTGGGTCCTCCAACCCTTACCCTCCTCTCATCCTTCAGGGACAAGAAGAGCTGCTTAGTCTGGCCCCATTGAGCAGCTGGGAGGCTTGAAGGGATGATAGGTGAATGCCACTTTTGAGACAGACCAAGCCCTTCACTATCCAGGTGAGGAAACTGAGGCCCAGGGGAGTGGAGTACCTCGCCCAAATTCACTCCATAACAGGACACTGAGAGACTAGGCAAATTTCAGGCCAGAATCCAAGGAAAAAACAAGTCAAGGAAAGAGAAATGTGCAGTGTGGAGACAGACAAACTGGTGGAAAAGAGAAAAGAGCAAGAGAGACTGACAGCACACAGATCGGAGGGCAGGCGGGGAACACAGCGTGGGCACAGAAGAGGAGAAACACCAGGGCAGAGAGACAGAGGCAGGTGCGGAGGGAGGAGGCTGATCACAGGACGGAGAGAGAGCACCAGGAAGGGGGACAGGGAGGCAGAGGGCAGAGGAGAAAGCTCAGGAGCGTGGCTCTAAAACCTGACTTCTCAACACACGCATCCTATCCCAAGACTATCAACTGAGGCAGCCAGGGCTGAGATCCTTACGCTTAAAGTCAGGCACCTGGGCTGACTGGAAGAAGAGCAACTAGAAAGAGAAGTATGAATCCTTGATGTAAGAGGAGGGCCAGGCACTGTGCATGGGCTGAGTGCACACCGCTGTGTGCCAGGCAACACTACTATGTGAGAGACATGAATATCCTCAATCAAATCAATTTCCCTGGCTGCTTAGAAAATTAGATTTTCCACGGGCCATTTAGAAGAAAGGAGCATAAGTTTGGGATGAGAACGATAGGACATAATGACCTTAAAAGTTGGAAATGGCCCATCTGGGGTCCAGAGGGAGCAGAGAGAAATGGAAGTCTGAGGAAGGAGGTGAAAGCGAACAACCCCACATGAGACTCAAGAGGCGGAGGCCCAATAGACAGTGCAGTGGTGCGTGCTTTGCTCTATTAGGAAGGAAGATGGGGGTGCAGGAGGGAGGAAGGGCCACAGTTCCCACCTTTGGGAGGCCAGGTCGGAGCAGGCGGGCTTCTGCTCGGCATCGGCGGCTGGGCAGCAGAACTGGTGCAGCACGGTCTCATTCCTGTGGGCAGAGCAGAGGGAGATCAGAGCGCCTGAGACAGACTGGGCCCTCGTCCCACCTGGTGTCAAAGCATTTCTGCCCTGAAACCTTGCTGCCCCCATCCCTGTCCTTTTAAACCCCCTGTGTAACACTCAGGCAGCCAGTCACTGCTACGGGCAAGAGTGTAGCGTTGATTCTCTGTCCATCAAAGTCCTCTTCAATCAACCATTAGGCTCAATTCAAATGCCACCTCCTGTGTGAAGCCTCCTTGACCTCCTTGGCAACTACTTCTACACCCGCTCCCTGCAGCAGGCTCTTTCATGTGTATATAGCAAATGTCCTGCTTTTTTTTTTTTAATCGTAGTTTGTTCTTTATGATCCTGTTCTCCAGCAAGGTCCTGCAACGCAGAACTAGGTCTGTTTGTTTAGGATGCACAGAATTGCATGCAATGAATACTTTGAAGCTGATCATATGCAAAGATACAAAACATTCATACTGGGACTTTAGTGTTGCCAGTTGAAAATCCGAGGAGTGGTGCTCAACGAGGCATTTGGTGTAGATGAAAAAGGCAAACCCAGAGGCAGCGATCTGGGTAATAGCCCCAACCCTACGGTTAGCCGGCTGTGTCAGACATGGCTCACCTTCAGCTGACTTACTAATGAAATAAGGGAGTTGAACTACAGAAGTGGTTCTCAGCCCCCCTGTATATTAGAATTACGAGGAGATTAAAAAAAAAAACATATGCCTGGGCCCTCCCTTCCCCCAGGGACTCTGAATTATGTGGTTTGGCATGAGTCCAGATACTAGGACTTTAAAAAAAAAACACTCCCAGGTGATTCTAAAGGCAGCCAGGATTGAGAGGCACTAGACTAGAGGATTTCCAAGGTCCCTTCCACCTCTAAAATGCTGTGATTCTAAAATCCACTTTGAGCCAACCTGGGATTTAATATTGAAATTACTTTTGGATGAAGATACACCGACCCATTGCCTTCTCTTCCTTAATAAGCAGTTGCCGTCCTGGGCATTATCAAGTCAGAGAATGTCAAACCTGGAAGGGCCCCCAGAGATCATCTGAAAGGGATTTTCAAAATTCCTTCAGCTTCAGAACACTTTGTCCAAATCAAATCCTTACTGGAAGCCTATTTTGTAAAACAACAAAAGCAGAACAGCTCCATGGCTGGAGGATGGGGCATCTGTGCCACTTCCCAGACCTCCTCGCCCTGAATTTGGTAGCCCCCTCCCAGGCACCTCTTGGGAGCCCAGGGTCTGAGAGCGTAGACAGGAAATGCTGAATTTGGCTATCTGCATGGAGGAAAGTAACACTGGAGGCTATCTTAATTTTTGTGTTGTTTTTTTCAGAGACAGAGCTTTGCTCTATTGCCCAGGCTGGAGCGCAGTGGTGTGATCATAGCTCACGGTAACCTCGGCCTTCTGGCTCAAGCAATCCTCCTGTCTCAGCTACAGGCATGTGCCGCCAGTCCCAGCTAATTACAGAAAAACTTCGCAGAGACAAAAGTCTCACTATGTTGTCCAGTCTGGCCTTGAACTCCTGGCCTCAAGCAATCTTCCTGCCTTGCTCCTAAAGCACTGGGATTATAGGCGTGAGCCATCACATCTGTCTGAGCCAACCTTAATTTGACAAAAATAAATTCAGAAAGGTTATATGTTTAAATGAGAAAAATTAAAAGGAAAAAATCAGAAGGAAACAGTAATATAGCTTATGGATTGGGGAGATTTTAAAAACAAAACAGGAAACTGAAAAGCCATTAAAAAGATAAACATGTCTGACTACATAAAATGAAAAAAAAATCTGTATGAAAACAAATACTCTAGGAAATCAAAAGGCAAATGATAGACTAGGAAAATATATGTGCAGAACGTATGACAGAAGGAAGTTAATACCCTGCACTGAGCTGCACACATTCATAGTGCAAAGACAAACCCAGCAGAAAAAAACAAGCAAAGGATAGGGATAGCAATGAGAAATCTAAAGAGCCAACAAATAGGCTCATCAATACTATTCTGCCACACAAACTCACATTAAGAACAAATTCATAGCCAATGGAAAGATGCTTACTAGTAAATAGGAAAATGCAAATTAAAGTCACGCTGAGATGCCATTTCTCATCCATCACACTAGTTTGTACACATTAAAAAGACTTCTAACTATGAGTCCTGGTGAGGATGTGGGGAGAGGGGTGCCCGAACCATTATCTGTGTAGATGTGAATTATTAAATGTTTATGGAAATGTAAACCAAAAGTAAAATTCTAAGCCCCCAGTTGACTGAATGGACCCCCTTCTCAGCCAAGGGCATTCCAAAGAAACCTGAAAAACTAGCTCAGGCCTTGATGGGCAGTGGGGGCAGGACCTGCCTCCTTATCCCCTCCTACTGTAGGAATTCAGGCACAGCTGACCGACATTAACATTAAAACAAAGATCTTAAGAGTGACAAATCAGACTCTTCGTAGTAGCAATAAGACACAATTTCTAGCAACTTCCAACCTGACTCTAGCAGAGCATCACATGACAGCAGGCCTTGAAAGAAACTGAAGTATTTCACAGCAAAATATATTTCTTTTATATATTTTCAAATGGCCCTGCAAAGCTGTCTCTTGGGAGGAAAATCTACATTCTGTAGAGAATCCTCTTCCCTTTCCAGGTCTTTTTCCTGATCCAGGAGAAAATCAATTAAGTGTCTGGCACCTTTTTAAGTCTGATAAGAAAAATTTACAAGCTACTCTCTCTGAAGCCAGTACCTGGAAGCTTCATCTGCATAATAAGAACCTTGGTTTCCACATCCTTATTTTAACCCAGACACTCCCCTCTACTGATTCCAGGTCGATAATAACAACTCTTTCAACAAATTGCCAATCAGAAAATCTTTGAATCTACCTATGACCTGGAAGCTCCGACCATATTCCAAGTTGTCCCACCTTTCCAGATTGAACCAATGTACACCTTGGTTCAATCTCACTTACATAGGTGACAGATGTCTCATGTCTCCCTAAAATGTATAAAACCAAGCTGCGGCCCAACCGCTTTGGGCACATGTTCTTAGGCCCTCTTGAGACTGTGCCGTAGGCCGTGGTCACTCATATTTGGCTGAGAATAAATCTCTTCAAATACTTTACTGAGTTTGACTCTTCAGCAGAAGCATTGTTTTTAGTGTGGTGGTGGTGGAGGGGGACAAATGGAAACAGCCCAATCCCCATCAATCAGAAAATGGTTGAATAAGCTGTCATACCTTCAACCATAGCATGCAATGACACCACCTGTGAAAAAAGAACTAGTTAGCACTCTATCTCTCAGTCCGGATGGATTTCCGCAACATATTGTTAAATGAGAAAAGCAAGTTGCAGAGAAATATATGAAGAGTGATTCCAATTTTATAAAATAAACAATGACTCCTCTCACCAAATGCAAATTCTATGCATGTGTACTCTATTTATATATGAATGCAAACCAAACTATTAACTGGCTACCTCAGCGGATGAAAGCCGGGAAAAAAGACCGAGGTAGGAAAAAGAGAAGGAAAAGCAATACTTAGGGTAAAATGTTGACTGAAAATGTTAAATATAAATTCCCATGTGTGATATTACTGTAAAGCCATTAAAACCGAATATGAACCTGGATAACAGCTGGAAGATGCCAGAAACCAGCACATATACTGATGTCATTTCACAGAATAGATCATGGAAAATTTTTATCCTGGACTTTTGTTCATTTAATACATTTTTCGTTACGGATGATATATAATCGATAGGCCATAGACTAATAATTAATGTAACAAATATAATTTTTTTAATGGGTATTAAAGAAAATAATTGAATCTGAGCCCTCATTTTACAGATAAGAAAATTGAGGCTGAAGTGATTTGTCTACAGTGATTCCCTGGACAGAATTTCAGGTCAGTCTCTCAGCCCTAGGTTCACGCCTGGGCCAAATCGAAGAATGTTAGAGAACTGTTTGAAACCTAAAGATCTTTTGCTAGCACCCAATGCTTCCTGGCCTGAAGAAAAGGAGAAAATGGAATGGGGAGATGGAGCAGGAGCAAGAAGGGCCCAGAGCCCAGACAATGCAGGGAAGGTGGACCCAGGTGTGCCGTGCAGCGGAGAGTCTGTACCGCCAGTTCCAGGCCTCCAGCTGCTCCTGGGTCCCAGGGCAGGTTTGGAATTCCTGACAAAAGCCATCAAGAGCATAGGCAAAGAAGCATTGATTGTTCACTACCCACAGCGCTGGCATTTCAGGAAGGAAACTCACCCACCCGGTCATAGGCTGGCACGGTGGTACCTGGGGGGACTCTCTTCTGATTTTGCCTCTGTTTCCCTGAGGCTTCCTCCCAAGGTTGGGAGCCACTCCTGTGTCCATACACTGTGGGTGGGCACTTGATGGTCTTCCCAGGTCCCCAGACTCAGCTGCAGTGACATATGAATGTCCCCAAGTCCTTCAGCACGTTGGGCTTGGGCTGACAGTGCCGTTGGGGCTTCTGCCAGTGGGGTCCCTAGGGACAGTTCAGCCAAGTGGGGAGCTTATCTTCCAGTTATGCCTCTGAGCTCCTCCATCCACCTCCTGCTCCTTAGGCCTCTCAGCCTAGGTCAGAACCCTTCTTGTCTTCTTTTGAGGTTTAGTTCATGCTAAATTGTAAGTCTTGCTTTGCCTGCCTTCGACCAACCTGGCCACCCACTCAGCCCAAGGTCATGGTCTGTTTCCTGATGTGGGCAGGTCTTAGCTTAAGTTTGCTAAGGTCACACAGCTAGTTAGTAGCAGAGCCTAAACCCCAAGCAGGCTCCTGTCAAGGATCATGCCCATGACTCCTCGTCAAAGGGTTTTTGGCCAGTGACCATTCATGTGTTCATTTACCAAGCCTGGGCAGGGAGTTCCTAGCACCTAGCTCAGTGCCTGGTATACTGCTGGCACTTCATGCTTGATTATGCAAAGAAGCATCACTGCAGTCCCTCCCTCTGGGAGCTCACCAACTAAGAGAATGCCTTAGTCTATTTGTGTTGTTATAAAAGAAT